AGCAGGGCTGGAATTTGAACAGAGATCTCTCCAGTCCAGTTAAGCTCAGGTAAACATCAGTCTGTTGGGTAATGCCTGCAGGCTTTTAATCAGCCTTTCCCACCGCCGCGCTGTGGATTGCAGTTTGATCAGGGCTGCGGCCAGCCCGGAGATGCGCGTTCTCTGCGGAGCCCTGGCCTGGAGCAGCAGCGCGTACGCGGCCACTCTGAGCTGCGACCCGCTTGGTCACGCAGGTTTTAGTTCCTGAAGGGCTCGGGAACGGCGCTGGGGCTGCCTGCAGACCCGGTGGCTTTCTTCGTGTCTCAGGGGTGGGCTTGGTTGGGTGTTTGTGATCAGCTGTCCAAAACCCTGTTCTACTGGTGACAAAGAGTTAAATATCTAGGTAGTAGCTGGTATTTCTGCTACTTGAGGGAGGGGCATACTAATGTAAAACTTTGTTTTCTAATCCACTTTGCAGATGTTTAGGAAATACTAAATGCAGTTTTGGAAACCTGGTCTCACCATAGATTGATGTTTCATTTTAAACGTACAGATTTGCCGTTTCCTGCATTTCTGACTGTCAGGATAATAGAGTTATTTAAAAATGCTTCTAGAAGAGCCCTGGAGCCTTCCTGTAAAGATAAGCTCACGTTAGGACGGATCACCGGTGCTGCCGATGAAACCCCTGACCTGACATTCCCACAGTGTGTGCTTGTGAAAATTCCACCTCTGGCTGGAATTTTTCTCTCCAGTAGCAGTGAATCGTTTCATTGATTTCCCCACTGACCGTGGCTTCAGAGAACAAACCGTACTCCAGCGGGAAGGCGCAAGTCACGCCTCACAGCGAAGGCCCGTGGGTGACCTGGGTTACAGCAGTACATGCCGAGAGGGAAGTCCAGGGAATGTAACGCGGATGTAGTAACGTGCGTGCTCCTTCTGGCAAACCGCGAGCAAAACCCACTTGCGTTTACTCAGGTAACTCGATGGTTTTCGTGATCCTGTTTCTGCCGGTCTCCACGTGGTGCCTCCAAGCAAAGGGGCTGGATGAAATCAGCAAACCCAGGGAAGAGCAGTCGCATCATCCAGTGCCTCTGGAGTTGAAGTAGTACCGTATTTTAAGCAAAAGAATTGGAAAGACCCTTAACTGTTCTTTTTCAGCCTTCTGAGAATGCGTTAACCTGTGATGCGCACACTGGGCACTCATTCCAGCGGTAACTGGGAACGGAGCCTGCGTCAGGGCTGAGAATCCTGTGCGTATCTCTGCACAGAAGCCATGTGCAGGGCACTCGTTGCCCGTTGCGAGCTCGTCCTCGCCATTGACACCTGGTAATGGCTGTGACTTAGCTGGTAAGATGTTTACTGCGGGGGAGAAAGACGCTTGTTGCTGTTGCTTTCATGCGTTGAGCGCTTGGAGCTGGGTGTTCTGAGACCTGGATCGAACGTCCGTGCGGAGCGGCCACGGGTCTGGTTGCTGTGGGAACCACGGCATTGAATTTCAAGGCACGGAAGTGTTGCATTTCTCAGTCATCCCGTTAATACCCTCCTATTATCCTTTAAGAAGACACTTATGAAATTGAGGGCGTAAAAGCAAAATATTTGTACAGTTCATGTTTCCTTCTGTTGCTGATCACGCTGAAAGTATTGGGTGAATAAATACTCGGCTACCTCACCATGGAAATACTCTGTTAAAGCCTACGGGGCTGCAAAATCGGAAAGGGAAGCGCGGCTGGCGATCGCATCGCAGTTTTCGATCCTTTGCCTGTCTCGAGGTGAAGTCCTGTTTGCTTGGGGTGTCTCTCACCGAGACCTCGGCTGGGCATGAGCGCTGTCACCAGACACAAATGGCGAAGCCTTTTTAGGCGTCCGATTATTTCCCCTCCCGCCTTACCCAGCCAAAAGGCACGAAGCGAAGTGCTTTTGCATGTGTTTCCTTGTAGGTGGAAAAAACACCGGCCTGGTAAGAGCCTGGTGGGACGGTTGGAATCGTGTCTTAATTGGCCGCCTCTGCGGCGCCCGCAGGAGCGTGGGGCGGCTGCTGAAGGGCCAGAGGACGGATGGATGGATGGATGGATGGATGGATGGATGGCCGGGTGGACGGATGGATGGCCGGGTGGACGGATGGATGGCCGGGTGGACGGATGGACGGCCGGATGGCGGGGTGGATGGACGGATGGACAGACGGCCCGCTGCAAGGAAAGGCGAGCTGCAGAGGGACGTTGCAGTGTCCGCAGTGGCCACAGGGTGTCTCCCAAATGCAGAAATGCAGCTCTGGTTGGTATTCAGCTGGAGTATTTTTAGGATAGAGCTCCAAGAACCGCTTGCTCCAAGCAGAGCAGCGATTTCACGTTGGTTATTGGTGTT